TTGGGTTCTTGTTTTCTGAATGTCTCAAAATACTCTCTCAGTTCATCGCAAATTTAAATAACTATAAATTTTGACAATCTGAAACACGCAATGGGAACATCTTCTGGCAGAGCAAAAGCATCAACATATTTTCTATAAATTCGCCACTGATTCAGAGATTTATGACCGTATTCTTCATTTAAATATGAAAGAAACAAAAAAACAGAGGCGAAAATGCATACAAAGCCATTGTCTACTTAGTACATCAAGTGCACAACCCTGATTGACGACGCGGCAACACTTTTTCGTGCGCTTTCGACAACTTCTGTACTCGGAGAATATAGGATGTCAGGCAGACCTGTTTTTCACTAGCAGCAACATCTGGCGGCCCACAACTCGCTGTCGACTCTTGTAGCATAGAATAACCATCCTGTAGTGACAACCAATGTCTGAAAATACCTGGGTGTGTCACTGGACCCACTTTTTATCACTGGTGAGTACTTGATCAAATATGGATGCATTGCGGTGCCAATTAAGCAATGATAAACAGGCAACTGGTGTTGCTTGTTTGCATCGGACACTGAGTGGAGTATCCGCTTGCTCAGCTTGCATGCCTTTTCTATGCGGTGCAAATGGAGTCTGATCGTTTCATCAGATACCTGGAAGTGTGCAGCCAGCTCACCACATGTTTGGCTACTGTCACTCTCTATGGCTGCTCTCAGGGCCTCATCATCTAGCACTTGTGGCCGATCTCTGTATGGTGCATCACTAAGAGACATATCCCCTGACATGAACTTCTGAACCATTGCCTAGCGGTTTGTTCATTAACGGTATCATGCGCAAAGTCCTAGCAAATTCGGCGACTTGATTCTGCTGCTGACAGACCCACTTTAAAATCATACACAAACATTTCCAGACAAGCACCTTTGACACGTGCATTTCAATCAGTCGCTGTGTGCATTATGTTGGAAGTACCAATGCTTTATACTCTGGGTCAAACTCCGAACTCCCATCCTAACCACTTCATCATTAGGTTTGGCGACTATTTTTATGTTGGGGTTCACTTTTCAATGTCATCATATCAGAAATGGCAGAAACGTTTTTGGTTACCTTGTATTAACCATTATAAAGTGCAAACAAATGAGCTTTGCTTTTATCATGTAAATTTTGGGGACAAACATTGGAATGTCAGTCTCCTTGTTTCTTTCACCAAAATTGAAACAAACAGGGGGATTGCTTCTGGCCAAAATGGCGACTGCCAGGTGAATTGTCTACTCTTACCCGATCCCTCTTCAAAAATAAAATATTTAATTGATACTGTTGCAGGATGTGTCAGTATTATCAAAAAAGTATACTCTATGTTCTAGGTCTTCACAGAATCCGTTTTTATTTGCCATTATTGGAACTAAAATTCTCACATTAGGCACTAAACGCCTTACTTTGAATTTAAATTTACATTGTATCATTACTTAGGTATTTATCACTGCAGATGTAAATCACACAATTATAGGTGTAGAATTCCTTAAATATAGATTACTTGTTGATGTTGCTAATAATTGCCTTATTGATTCTAAAACTAATTTGTCATTGCTTGGTAAAATATTCTGGAATTCTTTTGATTCGAGCATATCTGTACTTCTTGCTGATTCTGAATTTGATACATTACTAGCTGAGTATCCCAAACTCACTAATCCTTCTTATTTAACTAATAACAATCAGAATTTAACAATTTTTCATTGTATTGAGACTAAAGGGCCTCCTGTGTTCTCTAAACCTCATCGTTTATCGCTGAATTTATTCCAAGCGGCAAGACAAGAGTTTGAATTCTTTACGTCACAAGTTATCATTCAGCCATTCAAAAGCCCTTGGGCCAGCTTTCTTCACATAGTCCATAAAGCTAATGGTGATTGGAGCCCTTGTGGTGATTATCGCCACCTGAATGCCATGACTATTCCTGACAAGTATCCTGTACCACATAGTCAAGATTGTACACAGATATTTTTTGGGGAAAATATTTTCTCGTGATTTGGCTAGAGCAAATTCCTGTTAATCCAGAGGACATGCCCAAAACAGCTGTAACCATCCCATTTGGATTATTTGAGTTTCTTAAAATGCTGTTTGGTTTACAAAATGCAGGTCAAACATTCCAAAGACTTATTTATCAAGTACTTTCTTGTTTAGATTTCTGTATTTCCTACTTCAGTGATCTACTTGTAGTTTCAGCGAATGAAAACTAATTTTTGATAGACTGAAGAAATAGGGCTTAAAACTGAATCCTGCTAAATGTATTCTTGGAAAGTCATCTGTATCATTTCTTCTTTGTTTAAGTACCCCTTCAGATATTAGGCTCCTTCCTGAAAAATTGCAATAATTTCTAACTTCTTTAAACCTGTAATAATGACTGAGCTAAAGAGATTTTTGGCAATGTTGAATTTTTATCGGCGATTTTTGTGTAAAACAGCAACTACCCAAGCACCACTTCATTCTCTTTTGAAAGATTCTGAGTAAAATGATAAATGTCCTATTCTGTAGTCAGTGGAAATAACTATGACCTTTGAAAAATGTAAATCTGATCTAGCAAATGCAGTGACGCTTGATTACCATGATCCTGGTTAGCATAGTAGTTGTCATTAATGGTTGACGCTTTAGATGTAGCTGTTAGAGGTGTTTTGCACTAGTTATATGATAAACATCTTCAACCACTAGCTTCCCCATCCCTGAAAACTAACTGCAGCTGAAACTAAGTATGGCACATATGATAGAGAATAACTCGCTGTCTATTATGCTGTAAAGCATTTTCAGTATAATCTAGAAGGACAACATTTTACAATATACACAGATCATTGCCCTCTAAAATTTTTATTTAAAAAAAAAATTTGATTCTGTATCCCGCAGGCAAATAAGACATATGCATTATATTCCCCAATTCAGTACTGATGTACAACACATTCCTGGATCAGAAAATATTGTAGCAGATGCATTGTCACATATTGCGGCTATGAATAAGCCTGACATAACAAGCTTTGCACAGATTGAGTCTCAAAAGAATGATTCCAAACTGAGTCAATTACTGTCTACAGAAAGTAGCTCATTAAAACTACAAAAGATGAGCTTTCCTCTTGTTTAAATATATACTGTGACATAAATGTTGGCAAGATCCGTCCTTTTGTTCCTAACCAATTGCAAAAGGCAATGTTTGGTTATCTCTATGAACTTTCTCATCCAGGTATACGCTCAACAAAAAGACTCATTATCTTTTGTTCTGAGTCAAAAGACTGTGTTGCTTGGACACGTTCTTGCATTGACTGCCATATGTCCGAGGTCATACGGCATGCTCACGGTCCATTACAGTCTTTTGCTGTACCCAGTGAACATTTTGAATATGTGCATTTGTATATTATTGAGCCCTTTTTGCCTTCGGAAGGGAACTCCTACCTTTTAACCCTCATCAACTGGTTCTTCCAACGGCTGGAAGCAATACCAGTGAAAGATATTTCACTGCCGATGTATATTAGAAATTGTCACTAAAACATTTTTAACCCATAATGTTGCTAGGTTTGGAGTTCCCACTACCATAAGTATGGATCAAGGTGGACAATTTGAATCACACACGTTCACTACTCTTAATAAAATTCATGGTGTTTTCCAAATTCAGACTTCTCCATACCACTCTGCAGCTAATGGATTACTTGAGAGATTCCATTGTTCACTAAAAACAAGTGTTACTGTGCCATAATAATGTCCAGTGGACAATGAGCCTTTCAAATGCACTTTTTAGTCTTCGAACAACATAAAAGCAGATCTGGGAGGAACTTATTTGGAAATGGTTTATGGAATGACTGTTCGTCTCCATGCAGAATTTTTGCAATCCCCCCAAGTTTTTTATTCTTCTGATCCAGTTTCATTTTTACAGAAGTTGTGTGAGGCATTGAGAGGTATAGCACCTGTACCTACATCAGCCCATGTTAACAATAGGTATTTCATGCACCTAGGTTTAGAATCATGCACTCATGTATTTCTGACACATGGTGCAGTAAAACTACCACTGACTAGCCCTTATGATGGACTATTTAAAGTAATAAAAAGAACTAGTACAAATTTTACCCTTCTTATTAAAGGAAAAGAAGCTGTGATCAGCATTGATCACCTGAAACCAACATTTTAAATTTCAGATACTGTGGCATCGTTCCTGAGCATCCTACAGTAATGCCAAATGGCACTATACCTCCAGTGCAGACTGATCATTTTGGAAGAAAGTCAGGTTTGGAAGAAACCATTTTGGAAGAAAGAAGCTGTGATCAGCATTGATCACCTGAAACCAACATTTTAAATTTTAGATACTGTGGCATCGTTCCTGAGCATCCTACAGTAATGCCAAATGGCACTATACCTCCAGTGCAGACTGATCATTTTGGAAGAAAGTCAGGTTTAACCGTAGATATCTCTGATCCCTCATGCGTTTTGCACGTGTGTGTGTGTGGGGGGGATTTTGGCAGAATATTTGCATTCCAACAAGAATACATTTGTATGTAAATAATAGTATATTTCTTTATTCCTTATAGCTACATCACCTCATAGGGTTTGCATTTAGCAAAAAATAACTAGAAACTATCTTCATCATAAATTGTAGGTGCCCAGCAGTCAATGTGATTCTTTTTTTACACTAATTTGTTTTCAACTAGAGAAAAAAAAAATCACATATAAATGTACTCTGAAACAAATCGATTATTCTTATTGAAGAAATTTGCAATTAAGAATATTTGTCTTTTGACAAGTATGAAAAAAATAATTAAATCTGTATCTTCAAATCTTTGTATAAGATTTATATCGTAGAGTAAATTATTCAGCTTCATTTGTAGATTTTCGACGATGTTTCTCATATTTGTTTTTAATAATTAAAAGTTATGGAAAATTGGACTCCAAATGATCCAAACAAAATTTTTTTCTTAAAATTGTTTTAGTATTTAATATTATAATAAAGAATTTATTGGAAATGTATTCGCAGGCCATGTAAAATAGTTTTGGGGGCTGCATGCGGCCCATGGACCACCAGTTTGAGATCACTGCTCTAAAGAAAAAACTGTGTGAGGCAGGTATAGCACTTAGTCCTTAGAAAACTAGGCCACACAATAAACATACTCTAGGCATCCAGCTGTGTCATCTTCCTCCCTTTTATCTTTTGTTCTCCTATATCAGAATGTTTGCATATCGACTTCAGTTTAATTTCATAACATATGTTTCAAATCATTTCATTTCCCCATTTCTGATTTTGTTATTATAGTAAGATGTTAAAAATATCATTAATAAGAAGTGAAAACAGTTAATGTATCCATTAACATTAAGTACTTTTTACAGAAATTATCCTATTTTACCATCTGCTTCAGAAGTCGAAGACGATGATGTTGCACTAGAAAGGTCTAAAGTTTTAGGAGGACACTGTAGTAATGCTGTCTTGAGAATGGAGAATTTGACAAAGGTAAAAATTTCTTTAACATTTGTCATCAAAATAAACAGTTCAGCTTGTAGTTTGTTTATTATAAAAATATTTTTTGGATATTTTTTTTTCTGAAAATTCTTGTATTTTATTTTTTGTTAGTAATATAAAAAAATTATATTGTTTTAATGAAAGAGAAAATTTGGTTCTCGATTTACTTTCAGACAGCCATGCATGTTGCGCAATAAGTGGCTTTTTAAAAGTTTGCTTTGTTTAGTATTTTTATTTTGTTTTTGTTTCCCATAGATGAAAAAAGTTGTATCCCCCTCCAATGCATAGTTTCACAAATCTGGATTTAAATATTCTGTTTCTACAATGTCTGCAAGCTTGTGTGTGAGTTCTGCTGTTATGTAATACAGGGGTGTCCCAGCGATTTTGAACATCGATACCTGGAAATTCCGGGGATCATCGTTCAAAAGGAAGTAGGAATAATAATGAATTATTTATTTTGATCTGGGTAATTTTGTTTGCTTTGAAAGCAGAAAACGCAAGGTCAGTGTGTGTGGTGAAAATTTTACCTTTCTTTCTCCAAAGGCAGTGATAATGCGTGAAAAGGGGGAAAAAACTTCTTTTTTGTTCTTTCCTTATTGCAAGTTATGACTCATTCCCCCGGTTCTGGAATTCTCTTCTGGATTCTTTTCGGCAATAGGCGCGGCAGAAAAAAAAGGAGAGACTTCGTTCGACCAGATTTGCGATCACGTGACTCTGGGTTCAAAGGTCTTATCTCTCCTGGCGTGGTGCCAATAAGTAGAGAAGGGGGATTTTTCGCCGTATTAGCTATTTGTCATTGATTGCTTCTCAACTTTTTTTTCTCCGCTGTGTAAAATTTTCGTTTCATTTATTGATGCACGTGTAAATTTTTCGTTTCGTTTATTGAAATATTTTTTTATTTATGTGCGCAAGAGAATTTCACTATGAAATTTCTCGATATAACTAGTGATATTATACAATTAGAAGAAGGTGTCCGGAATGCATTTAGGTGGAATTGGATTGAACGGAGAGGGGGTAATGGGGATACCATTGGCACATGGTTGCAAGAAAATAAATGTTGCTGGACAAGCATATTGTGTTTTTTGTAACTCACTGCTGAGTATGGGGAAGGATTCAAGGCTTTCAAAAATCATTCTAAACTGTGATGCACATAAAATATTCAAAGTGCATTAGACATTCAATGACTTTAAGTAATTATGCTAAATACTGATGACTTACTGGAGACTGATGCTCGGCCATTGGATATAGTGACAAAAAAGCACGCCAAGAGGTATAATAACTTCGTTTATCGCCGAGAAATCTCTTTCTTTCAATGTAGCTCCAATTTAATTGAACTCTGCAAACGTTGAGTCGCGATCAGACGGCACTAAACTCGTTGGAAATGTCCAGGACTACTGCATGTTATAGATGAAATATGGGCCTCACAAAAACTATTAAGGAAAATATCATTAAAACTTAAAGGAGACTCCATTTTCTCTAATTTGGATGAAAGTACTAGCAATGCTCAAGAAAGTATACTGGCAATATTGGTGCAGTTTTATGACAACAATCAAAATGAAGTTGTAGTTCATCATTTTGCATCTCTAAAGATGGAATCTTGCAATTCAGAAGCTGTTTTTAAAGCAGTTTATTAATACTATTTGAGATAATAATATTCCATGGGCAAACTTAATTGTGGTATTAATGGACTCATTAACACCATGCGTGGAAAAAAAAAGGTGTTGAACCCAGACTACAATCAAACAAGCACCCCACTTATTAGATATTGATGGTGACATGTCACACAGCTAATAACTGTGCAAAAAAATTTGCTTCATGTTTTGATAGATGCTTAGAAGATTTGTTTGATGACATCTATTTTGATATGAAAAGCTGCAGTAAAAGAGAAATTTTTTCAAAATCTGTGAATCCCTTGCCATTAAAAAACTTAAGCCCTTGAAGAGACCAGACCATAGGTGGGTGTACATTTTATGTGTTTTAGAAAGAATCAAGGATCTGTGGGATGCTCTTATTGCATTTTATTTTCACTACTTGGATAAAACTGATAAAGGGGATTATTTTTCTTATGTTGAAACTGTATACAATAAAAGAAATATTTCTGCAGCTCAGAAAAAAATTGTTGAAGGGGTGTATTCTGGCTTGCATTCCCAACAACTCGCAAAGGATGCTTTAGCTTGGAAAAAAAAAATACTAAATGGGTTATTTTTTATGCAAAACAAAACATTATTGCATATGGCATTATATTCAGCAGTATTACCAGAGTTCAAACCATATATTAAATTATTTGAAACAAAAAAACCAAGGCTTCATTTAATACATTCCAGTATTTATAAATTGATGGCAAAATTTTTCTCTTTTTTTATGAAGCCAGAAAATATAGAGTATATAGAGTGCACATCTTATAATGATTTATTAAAGGTTGATGTCACAAATCCAGAATTCCATCTACCTAGCAAAGTAATATTTACTGGTGCAGAAGCTTCCACTCTCCTGAAGAAATTATCAAAAAATCATCCAATAGCAAAAGAATTTCAATTTCTCTGATGAAAGCTTATACTAATACAGCACAGCATATGAATATGAAACAGAAATTACCCTTAAAAATTCAATATCTAATTAGTTTTACAGCATTCGATCCAGAGCTAGAGGTAAAACCAGTACAATATTAGCTTTTGAAAATTATCATCTTTTATGTCCCATATTTTAGTGATAATGAAAAGTCAAAAGTAGAAGCTGAAATAAGGTTATACCAGAGTGATAATGATATCACCAAAGAAATGCTCTACACATCTGATGAAAGTGGAAATCAAGTCAGTGTACAATTTGATAAATATTGGTCTAAAGTTTTTAATTAAAAGATGATTTCACCAAATGATTATAAGTGTCATACATTGGCTAAATTGGTCAAAGCCTGCTTAGCTGCTTCCATGGCCCATTAGTGGAAAGTGCATTAAACTTAATGGATACACTGTCACTGACTATAGAACCTCTCTTAAGATTGATTCCCTAGATGCAGTGCAGACTATTAATATGATTTAATGGCTTCTAAAGAACTCATGTGAAAAATATGGCTAAAAAATCCAATGACTGATCCAATTCACAAAGATCTCTTACTGAATATGAACAGAAGTTGGAAAACATATCAAGAGGACTTAAAAACTTGTATTTCAGATGAGTCACCTATCAAAGTCTCTGAAAAACCTTCTACATTAGCAGAAAAGCAAACTGCTTCTAAACTCTGCATGTGCAGTTCTCGAGGAAATTTCTTCAACTATAAATGAGGAAAATAAAAGTCAACCTTCCTGCAATTATGAAGTTCATCACAAAAGAAAGACAAGCCCACAAACATCAGAAAATAAAAAAGCACCAGAAATTAGAATTTTTTTAAAGAATTAATTCAGTAATTTAAAATATTTACATAAAAATGTAGTAGTTTCTATGTTGAAATTTATGTTATTAATTTTGCAAAAAAAAGTAATTCATTGAACTTTTATAATTAGGTCATTCATTACTTCATAATTGTAATTTTTCATTTCTCTCCCCTCCCTTCTCGAAACTCCAAAATGTCGGTAGTAAGTCCGCAAAGGTTTCAGGGGATTTTTTGGGGTCCCACAAACACCCCTGGTAATAATTAAAAGTACCATAATTGGTCATAAATTTGTACTCTGTGGAATTTTGGAAAATTATATTTTGCAATTCTTTGGGTGACTGAGTGTGTGAACTTTCTTTTCATTGCTATGTAGGTATATAAACCAGGACAATATCCTGCAGTAAATCAGCTGTGCATTGCTGTCCAACCTGGAGAATGTTTTGGTTTGCTAGGTATGAATGGTGCTGGGAAAACAACAACTTTCAAAATGCTGACTGGAAATACACCTATCACGTCAGGAAATGCATACATTGCTGGACATAGGTATGTCAATCTATTTTATGTACCAATAAAATCTTATGAATAATAGTATCTGCTATTTCTAAAAATAAAGTAACTTACATCTGACTTCATTTAAAATGGAATGCTAAAACTAATTGTGGTATATTAGAATTGCTGTAACATAGCTTCTAGCTTTGTATTGATGTTGATATGATCTGAATCTTGTTGTGTAAGATGCTCAACTTCTTTCAAGTATAATTTAGTGAATGTAACATTCAAATACTACTCAGTTTTCTAATGCTTACTGTTGCTATGCATGAAAAGAATTGAATACAGACTACAAACTGTATCTTCATATGCATGTTTTTAACTCTTTGACTTATATACACTGTGCATACAAGAAAAGGGAGCAGTTCAATATCTTCCATTCTATTGGGCCAATTGACAAAATTTAACTTGTGTTTCTCATATCTGAAAAGTATGACTAAGGGTATATGTTAGATTTAGCATTGTTCTAACACAGGTATTTTGACATAAAATCAGACTTTTTCTGAAATGATATATTGATTATTTTCCATTTTTCAATTCTATGACTCAGATTGTGCCCAACAAAATTTGGTGAGAAACATGCCAAGAAATTTTTTAAATTATCTTGCCACACTTTTTTTTTTTTTCACTAAAAATAATTCATTTGACGAAATAATTAATTTATAGTAATCTATTTTCTTTTCCCTTTTCTGATTATGCATGAGCAGAAAAAAGGTGCATCATTCATTCTTTCAAATAATTTTGACAAGTGCGTAAAGCATATTTCACATCATTACGGCTTATAACAAATATGCCAAATTTTAGAATGCACCAGTATATAAATTCATGTATATCTTGGGAAATTTTGAATAAAAAATTATAATTTTTCTCAGGTATGCCTAGAAGTACATCTACTTTAAGGTGATGGCAAAAAATTTATAGGTTATAATTCAAAAATGTTTTTTGAGAAATATATAAAAAATACAAATTTAAAAAATAAATCAGGAAATATCTGCAAACTTTATTTTGCTTCGTGAACAGAGTTCATGGCTCCGGGCACCTGGGAAGACTTCCCAATAGAAATGAGTAAACAATTTTTTGAACATTGATTAGCATATTCTGAAGTTTTAGGGAACAGTATAGTAAAGGAAGAAATATTTCTGGCAATTCTGTAGCAGCAAATAGCAATTTTGTTGAGAGTCTGAAAAGATGCATAAACGATATAGAAACATGTATAATGTTGAAGCGAAATATTTTCGGTAGTTACTCCACGATCAGATGTACAGGCTTCATCGATGGAGTGCAGTAGCTGAGTGGTGTTCGAAAGTAGGAGATAGATGTTAACTTCACCAGAAGCAAGGAGAGAGTTGTTTGGATACAGTGTGATTTGTGTGCTAGGGGGTGGGGCTAAAGGCTCTTTTCAGACCATACGAATTTAGAAGGGCAGCCGAATGGTAATGAGGGGTCGGGGGTTAATTTAGAATTGTTACCTGCTGAACTTAGAAATATTTTAAACATTATTTCCAGAACTTAAATTCATAAAGATCTTATAGTATGGTAAGGTGCAGCAATACATAGAGATATATTATATATATAGTTTTTTTAATGTTTTTAAAACTAAACAAGATGGCAGCACATTCGCTGCACATGATTTCTGAAATTGCTACAATGTTTCATAGTAAGTGCCACTTAAAGGCTTTAAAAGCAAGACAATAAAAATTTTAGTAATAGTCTCTAAGCAAGGCCTGTGCCCTTTTTCTGTTTTCTGGGTCATTAATGTCGTACTGCAATGCTGGAATGGTAGGATTATTAACTTTAGCAATATTCTTGTAGAACTTTTTTGCAATTCTTACTACTTACTACTTACTTAAGTCCACAATAAATGGGGTGTTAGTCTCCTCATGAATTGTATCATTTCAAATATACCAAGTACTGTTGGTAACATGTCTTAGAGTGACATTTTGAAGCTGATGCAGTTTTTGCATAGAGGAATTACAAACATAACCCCAAACAGGGCAGGCGTAGGTTAAGATGGGACGAAGCTTGGCATTGTAAATGAGCAATTTATGATCTAGCGCTAAAACGCTGTTTCGAGTGATTAGGGGGTAGAGTAGTTTTATTTTACTGACTCGAAACTTATTAGTTACGTGTTTTATGTGGGGCTTCCATGTAAGACGTTGATCAAGATAAACTCCAAGGTATTTGACTTCCTTGGCCCAGGGAATGGTGGTGCCGTAGATAACCAAATTTCCATCTATTTCATCTATTTTCCTTTTTTTTTGGGGGGGGGTAAATATAAGTGCAGTGAATTTGCCGGCATTGATCTTCATCTTCCATTTAAAAAGCCAGGATTCAAGTGCATGTATGTGATTTTGTAACTGTTGAATAGCTGTGCTAACAGATGCACTTTGAGAGAGGATCGCAGTGTCATCTGCGTACATAGCGAGTGTTGTGTAATGTGTGTGTGGAATATTGTTTGTGTATAAATTGAATAAATAAGGTGCGACAAGGGACCCTTGCTTCATTCCAGCGCATAGTTTACGTTTAGTGGAGTAGGTTTCGTTTACACGAACGATGAAATATCTATCTGAAAGATAGGAACAGAGTGTTGTTATGATGTGCTTAGGAAAGCCAGAGTGATTAGCTTGTATATGAGTCCGTCAAGCCAAACGTGATCAAATGCCTTAGCTATGTCAGGGAATATTGCAGCTGTATGCCTTTTTTCTTTGAGTCCTATAGAAATTGATTCTGTAACTCTAAATAACTGGTGAACTGTAGAGTGTTTGCTTCTGAATCCATATTGCTGTGGGATAAGAAGCCCTAGGCTTTCAATTACTGATTTGATTTTGTTCAACAGGATGAATTCAGCAATTTTGCTGCATGCAGGCAATAAACTTATTGGTCGGTAGGATTCAGGTTGGTTCAAAGTTTTTCCAGGCTTGTGTATTGGTGCTATGATCACAATTTTCAATTCCAGAGGAAAATACCTCAAATTGAAAATTAGTTGAATGATATGGGTTAATCTGCAGATCATTAATAACCCCATTTTTTTAATCATGAGGTCCGTAATATTGTTATGATATCTTCATTTTTTTTGACATAGCTAAGAACATCTGATGGATTGACTACGATGCTGTTGTTTGTGCATGGTTTTGAGAGGAATTGTGTGATGGTATCAGCAACAGTATGTTCTGTGTGAGTATCAGTAATGTTGTTAATGGTAAACTGAGTAGCATAGTGATCTGCAAGAGACTGAGCTTTCTCAGTTTCTGTGTATGCGATCCTATTTTGGCCTTAAGGGACGGAATATTTGTGTAGCATCTTTTTAACCTCGAAGTAGCTTTCTAAATGGAGTTATCGTCTGTAGATAGTCCTTCGAGGTAGTTAGCCTAATGTTTTTGTGCATGCTTTCGAGTTTGATCTCTGACTTCTTGTTCTAAAGCATTAAGCAGCCGTCTATCATCCGGATGCCTTGACCTCTGCCATTGCTTTCTGATCTGATTTCTTCTTTTAATCAGATCTTTAAGGACTTGGTTTTGAACAAAATTTTTTGTAGGAATCTGGATAGTATTATTTTGATATGCAGAGGTTAGGTCATTAGTGAATTTTGCAAGTAAAACGTCTAACTCATTGCTCGTATGTATTGTTTTGGCTGTGTAGTGAGTGTTGTTTACAGCTTTGATATAATTAGACCAATTTGTAATAACGGCTCTTTTGTCTAGTGTACTATGACTTCTAACATCCAGTTCAATGGAGACTGAATTGTGATCCGAGGATAATTCATTTAATATTTCAATATTAGATGGTGCTCGGATATTTTTTAATACAAAAAAATCAATAGTGGTGGCTGAGTTAGGGCCATAGCATGTTGGTGAGGGGGGGCTGCAATGTGAAGATTGGCTGTATTAGCAAAGTTGTAGAGGTTGTGTTATCAGAATTGAAGTTCCATGCACGATGTTTAGCATAGCATTTAGATCTCCTCCTACTATGACTTGATTGTTGAGTTTAAATATTGTTTCTAAATCTGCAACAATATCATTTACATGTTTTGCTGGTGTTATATAGAAGGAGACTAAAGTGATGGGTGGTGTTGTGGGTGGTATGATGGTGATAGCTACGGCCTCAGAGGCTAAAAAGCTGTGGGATTGTTAGTCCGTAATGAGCAATGGAGCATTTAATTAACAAAATAACTTCCCCGCCAATGCGTACTACTCTGGGTCTGTCATATCTATGCAAATCATAGTTAGCAATAAGAAAAGAATATAGAGGGCCAAAAACGTGTTCTTGTATGAAAATAACATCAGAACTATGCTCATTTACAAACTCCTTCAACGCAGAAATTTTCTGAAGGAGGCCATGCGCGTTCCATATAACGATATTCAAATTATTGGTGTAACTATTTATGATTGGTTTCGTTCAGCTCTTCTAATATGAGTAATAATATGTAGAGTTTTTCCATGCGTTTGTTTTGCGTTTCTGCATTATGAAGCTGATTTAGGCTATTTTGGATAATTGCAACAATCTTGGATATTTGTTTGAAGCCAAATATCGATTCAAGTTCTTTTATGAGCTTAATTAGTTCTAGAAATCCTGTTGAGCTAAGATTTTTAGTCGAATTGGGGGTAATATTTGTAGTATTAGATTTATGAGTTTGGTTGATTTGAGAAATCTTCCCATTGGCTTCAGCTATAGCAGAAGCAATGTTCTGGTTGGCTGTATGTTCTGCTATATGTAATTCTGAGTATTTTGGACTTTGTTTGCTAATATTTCAGAATAAAGTAGACATGGCCAAAGCTTTTGACCACGTCTGGCATGAAGGCCTCATCTATAAGCTCATACAGCTGCATATCCCGAGAGAACTCGTCCTCATCCTGAAGTCATTCCTCAAAAATCGTACTTTCTCAGTTAGACAAGGTGATTATCTTACTAATCCATATCCTATCCTGGGAGGGGTCGCCCAGGGTAGCATTTTAGGACCCATTATCTATAATATTTGTGTTCATGATTTTCCAACC